TTCAATCATAGTGGATCCCCAGGTTACCATGGTTGTTTCAAGACTAAGTCATGGTCATCCATGACTTGGATGATTTGCGGCTACCCCCCCAGCCATAGATGGAAAACCATGGTCCCAGTGCAGCCTCAGGTGACTTGGACTCTGTGGGGGTCTCGCCCTGAGTCCGCAACGGCTGAGTACCAATTGATTGAAAAACCAGGTGGGTTGGTCTGGAAATTTTGCGAAGACCATGGAAAACCATGCAAAAACATGCAAAACCCCTAAATCCATTGGTTGTTCTTCATTTTTTGTCCATAAACATCGGTATTTTGTGGGGTGGAGCGTAAATACCCCATGTTCAGACGAACACATCTGTCTTTGACGAATTACTTTGCTCACATGGATCAATGAATCAAGGTAAATTCATCGTGGGTAGTTTGAAGAATATGGATGATTTACTGGTAACTGATTTCAACCCATCACTAAAGAACGTCAATTGGGATTATCATTCCACTTTAGAGCGTCAAAATGAGCACTACTTGAAACCAAACATGAGAAACCAGTAAAAATTTGGATATTTCCCATTTTTGGTTGGTTCAAAGATTGCAGATTCCACGCCTCAGGGGAGACCCAGGCCATGTCAATGGCTAACGGAGACCGCTTGATTTGTTTGACAAACCAACAGAAATCGTCCGATAATATTGTTCATCTATAAACCAAAACTATGAAAAGAAACAACTTTGTTTGTTTGTCTGTCTGAAATGAAACATGTCTCAATCAATTTGGTAGAAGTGTTCAATCGCAAGTCCAATGTGTGTGGATGCTCTTGCACTATGCCGGTCTCCGTGTTCCCGGTTGCAAACACACGGGAACTTGAGCCACTGCGACCAGCAACAAAATCCTTGCAGTTCACCTTGAACTGATGACAGGTATGATGGGTGACATCAGCAGATCATTTTTGGTGGGTATGTTTCTGCGATTTTCTGCGCCGTTTGGGATTGACCAAAATCCAATTCACACAGTTTTGTTTTTGTTTGACCTGGATTTGCGGGGTCGCATTGTCCCTCATGTTGGCCAATCATGTTTGTCAGGCATTGTAGATTAATATGTGCCCGACAATGGCAAACACAGATGATGCATCCAAATGCCAATGATTTGTGGAGGCAAAAGAGGAATGTGACGAAGGATAGGGGCGATAGTTGGGGATGGAGAGCGAAGAATTGAAAAATGAAGACAAATGGGGAGGATCTGCAAGCGAACCACAGTTTCGATCTGTGCAAGAACTGAACAAAGTACACACCACCCATCAAAGTAACAAACACACACACACACACTTGCTCAGAAACATCTTATCGAATTACTGATGTGGAATGCATCGAACGTGCACAAACACTTCATTTAAACCTGACAGGAGAAAGTGGATGACTAGGCGTGAGAAACCGTAAAGAAGGATTCTTTCTACGTCCTTGCTAGAAGCAACTGTTCCATCTGACGAAGTCAGCAGTAAATCAGATTGCGAAAACCGTACAGTGGTTTGAAAATTGTTGGAAACAACGACATGCCGGTACTTGGCTTAGCCGGTTGCCATTCAAGGAAATGAAAAATTGATGCAGGTACGCAGAGCTGATCAGGCTCTGTATCACCACGAACTGACAGTGTCTTCGTTGGGCAGTGTCTGTCAGTCGTGCACTGCCCCCCTGCATAGTTAGAAATTTTACATCTTTACAGATGGTTCACACACACCCCCTCCCGCAGGAGGGTGGGAAATTAAGGCCCCGACAATGAGATGAAAATGAAGAGGAAGGGAAATGAAGATGAGGTGAAGATGACAATGAGATGAAAGTTACTTAACCAGGACGCAAAGAGGGGAACGCAAAAGAAGAAGGAAGGAGCAAACACCAACACATGAAACCTAGCCCAAAACGGGCAACCCTGGAAAGGCAAGGGAAAAGAAAAGAAAACCGGAGGCCGACGGAAAACGGGACAAGACCAGCGGAGGAGGGGGAAGACAGAAGCGCCTGAACCAACCTGGCACGGCGAAAACCAACATCAACCTCAGCACGCAACGGGCCAAACCTACCTGGAGAGAGGAGAACGCAAGAACACATGAAAAAGGGGCCCATGGGGAACTAGTTAATGACATGATGCATCCACAAAGACGTGCAGTGTTCCCCTCGTTAGGCTCAATGGCCAGAGTCCGCGTCAACCCTATGGACAGCTGTCGGTGTTCAGATGAATTACGTGCACAGTTGAACCTCACCAAAGTAACCAAAAAGAAGCGACCACACCTGTAAAGCATGTCCTGTTACCTGGATTTTCATGTAAATGGCTGCGGTCTGTCGCTTGAATTTCACTGGAAAAGGAGGTGTTGTCGCAGCTGAAGGCTACCAGTGACAGTCAGGCTGATCTTCAGAAAAAAGGACGCCACACGGCAGCCAGTAGTTCAACGCTCACTCGACCGACTTGTGAAACTGTGAAAGAAGGCCATCTGTTTCACTTTACTTAGACGAATTTCTAATTCAAAAGTGTAAATTCAGACATCGTTTTACCGTCAATTTTTAGCTTAGAAAGGCTTTCCCCGAAGGGCTCATACCACCTTGTCGGACAACGGTATGAGTGACACACTTGCTCAGAAACATCTTATCGAATTACTGATGTGGAATGCATCGAACGTGCACAAACACTTCATTTAAACCTGACAGGAGAAAGTGGATGACTAGGCGTGAGAAACCGTAAAGAAGGATTCTTTCTACGTCCTTGCTAGAAGCAACTGTTCCATCTGACGAAGTCAGCAGTAAATCAGATTGCGAAAACCGTACAGTGGTTTGAAAACTGTTGGAAACAACGACATGCCGGTACTTGGCTTAGCCGGTTGCCATTCAAGGAAATGAAAAATTGATGCAGATACGCAGAGCTGATCAGGCTCTGTATCACCACGAACTGACAGTGTCTTCGTTGGGCAGTGTCTGTCAGTCGTGCACTGCCCCCCTGCATAGTTAGAAATTTTACATCTTTACAGATGGTTCACACACACACACACTATTTGCGGCATTCCACACATGCACCGAATGAGGAGCAACGCAAAATATGCACATATATAACGATGTTAACCACATAGAAAATACATGTCACTGCGATGTTTTTGTCATCAAAATACCTCCAAAACAATGGTGTGTTTTGCCTGGTATGCTTACGTATGATTGCAAACAGCACCGAGTCATTGGAAAAAAAACCAACCATCCCTACTAGGTTGTTTGCAAATTCCTGTCACATTTTGGGAGGACCAAGAAACAACTGAGATTGAAGAACAATTTCCTTACATAGATGCGTACAATGAACGATTAAAAAAAATGATGAAACACAAATAATGAAAAAGAGGCATCCGAGGTAACTGCATGGTCTCAGCACGCTGTGGTAAGATTTGTTGTTGCATTGTTGCATTTAAACACCACTTGTATGATTATCCGCACATGCAGCAATGCACACAAATAGTTTTTTCAAGGCTTCACAATTTCAAAACCAACCTCATGAAACGTTCATTGACCTCATCTATTTCCACTAAGACGTAAGCACTGTTATGTCTGGGTTTTTTTTGGTGCAACATGTTTTTTTGAAACCATATCTACTAACCCCAAAATTTGAAAAAAAAAACGAATTTCCTTGTGTTTTTGCATCCGTATGTAAAATCAAGATTGTTCATTGTCATGTTTTTTCCACCAAGACCTGATTTATATTTAATGTCATCTTAAGTCTGTATGGATTTCAATTTTAGAAGGTGGCACCGTTCAATTTTTTTTACCGGCCACACGCATTGGTTCATCACAGATCCGTCGAAACTTGGTACACCACAACAAACCCTCAACCGGTAGGCCCACGAAATTAGGCACGGCGATGGAATGGCCCACCGACGATGGAATGTCTGAATGACCCATAAGAATGGGATGTGTTGGGGTTGCTGCCGCTCTTTACACAGCCAGTGGACATGGTCAAAAGAAACAATATCGCCGGGTTTCTTGACATCACGCAACAAGTCTTGTCGGTCTGGACGCATGTATTCCATAGTATCACTTTCCCTGCTGTTGTTGCTGATGTCCTTCTGAAGGATTGGTGGACTCTGAACAGAAAAGGATCAAAACCGCAGCACCGCAACGAACAACCTCCACTGTTTATCTTATTTTTTGGTTCCATCGTACGAAACATGTTTGAAGTTTTTGCCTTGCAAAATTTTTACCCACTTCGGCCATTTCCTTGACCTTGACATCGCTTACACATGACAACATATCGGAATCAAATAAATCATCCATTCGGTCTTCAAAGTATTGCGCGTCTATGCACATGAATTTGGCATTCCATGTTGGATGTCTTCCCAGTTTCTATTGAAAGTGACATGTTGTTTACATGCAAATGCATGCAATTTCAACAACATGAAGTTGTGTTCACCCCGCTTCAGTTTCAATTGTCATGTGCAAACTGTACATTCTACCATCCAACTGTTGCGGCCGTAACCAAGGTCACTAGCAAATGGCAAGCATTTAATTTGTCAATCAATCTACCTTCGATCTCTGTGAATGCAATGGTCGTGGCGCCATCCTTTTTCATTTGATCATCAGGGCAAGATACGAGTCCATGCATTTGGCATGCAATTTTCATGAAAAATATGTGACACGAGAGACTTGAAACTGTGTGTGTGTGTCATCCGTGTGTAAGTGGTCACGCTATGCTACAGTCCGGTTAGGAGCTGCGAACACTGACAAAGAAGTTTCGGACTCCTCCTTGGCAACGCGAGTTTGAAATCACTTTGCCACATTTCACCACCCCTGCACATTTCTTTTCACGCGCACATCTTTGAATCAGTGGCATTCTGGAAACGGGGACTTGCCACTATTCCCCGGCATGTCACTTTGCTTTGCACAAGGGCTGCATCATGTTGACGTGGCGTTGCTACCATTCCCCTAGAATTGCTCCACAGTGTGGGCATTGTACTGAAACATTCACAGGCCATCTCTTGGAGTAGATTGCTATCATCGGTGTGCAATCTCCATGCCTCCCAGCCATAACTTCAAGCTGATCACCAAACTGATGAACAGTCGAACCTTGCCTGCGTGAGGCACAGGTTGGTTTGCATTGACAGTGACAATGTCCAGCACTTGCATCAGAGCCTTTTGGAAACTCACAGTCCGCCCAAGCCTCGCGGTTCAGGCAGTCATTCAATCAGAACATTCTGGAACTGGAACCAGTGAAGTTTCAGGATCAGCGGCATCACTTCGGCTTTCTTCACCTTCCACCATGCCCATGTCTGCATCCCCCCAGCGAAGACTCCACGGTTCTGTTGACGAACAGTGTTCAAGTAACGCAGCATCCCCATTGCACGAGATGCAAGCAAATTGGTTCGCTCTGTTCCATACTGTGACTGGCGTTGTGCAGCATACAAGTCATTAAAAATGCTGAATCCACCTTTGTTGACTAGCCCCCAATGCACGCTTTCCACATTGTCGGAGACCATCTCAATCTCGCCTTGTAATTCATCGAGCGCAGCTCTCATCCTTCTCAGCTTGACTCTGACGTATGTCCTTGGCAACTTGGTCACGTCACATCCATGGAAAACCATCATGCTGCAGATCGTTCGCATTGGGCTCCAATGGACACTGCATTCCTGCTACAAAGATTCCATCGTCATCCATCATAGACGCTCGAGCAGAAGGCTCAAGGCTCACAAGTAGAGTTACACGCGCAATGCTCTTTGCAAGGACATTCACCGTTTGCCGCTACCATGCTTCTTGCATTGAATTTCATATTCATCTGAAGCAACAATCTCGAGACCTTGCTTGGTCGCCATGTTGATCTCATGCAGAAGCAACTTGATTCTCTTTCCTGACAATGGTTTCGCCGCCGCATCCGCAAGGTTCCACAACGTTATAATCTTAAGCAGTTGGATGTCGTCCACCATCAGGCAATCCTGTATCCACAACAGTTTGCCACATAGGTGTTTCACCTTCCCTGCTCCTTGACGCATACAAAGCAGCCTTGCAGAAGAGGAACCGGTACAGAGAAAATTGGATATAACGCTTCAAGTAGATGCCATCTCAAACACTTGACATCAGGGCATGCAATTCTAACTCGCCTGAACTGAGCCTCGCAATTCAAGCACCTGCAAACATCAGATTTGAGAGTTAGAAGTTGGGCCAAAGAAATGTTTTAAGGTTTTCCTTTTTTTACGGTTTTAATGATTTGCTTGATGATTTTCAGGTTTGATTTCAAAAAATCAGAAAGTTGATATGATTTTCAACCGATTTCGATTATTTATATTTTTTTAGAATTGTTTTATGACTTTTTAAGCTTTTGTTTCCTATTGTTATGTTTTTTTGTAACAAGTATCGTACTTGATGACTTTTTCTGCGTTTTTTCTGACATAAAAAATAAAAAACATTTAACAAAATAGAGATAAAAGACTACAAATGCAAACGCTAAAATTTTTAAAAAATGAAACGAAACATAAAAAAAGAAAAACATTATAAAAAAAAACGTTTGCGTTTAAAGCATTTTTTCAAATAACATATTTTTCTTCAAAAATCAAACTGATATTTGGCTGCCGTCGAACTCTCAACATCAGATGATGCTTTGACATATCCAATGAATCCAATGAATTCTCGCAACCTGGTCACTGCAGTCAGACTTGGAGGGCCCATTGAACTGTTCAGTCTTGCGCACGGAGCATCACGTTCGGACAAGGGTTCACTGAAATCCTCCGTTGCTTAAATGCTTCCACCGCTCTGTTGCTGCTTGTATCTGAAATCAGCGCAAGGCTTGTCTCCAATCGCTTCACCTTTTTTTTCCTTCGGTATGGCGGTAAATGCACACGGCGCGGTCCTTGTAGGGGCTCCAATCGCTTCACCTTTTGTTTTCAAAAATAAGATTTCACTTCCAACGACTGCAAACTCTGAATGCCACACCTTGTATCGTTCTTTCGGATTGGAAAAGACATCATGCCTCGCCAAAAAAACATGACAATCCACAGGAATCTTCAGACAGCAAAACTGGTTCTTGCACAGGCAGGGCTGTTCAACACGCTACTTGAAACTCATCTTAGCTCTCTTTCCCCACATCTTTGTGTGGGGTTCTTGTTTTTGATTCTGTATCCCGCCTCCTCCACCTCCGCCTCCGCCTCCTCCGCCGCCTCCTTTGCACACAACATCTTTCACACAACAACTTTGTCACACAACATCTTTCACACAACAACTTTGTCACGCATCCTCTTTCACACAACAACTTTGTCACACATCATCTTTCACACACAACTTTGTCACACAACAACTTTGTCACACATCATCTTTCACACACAACTTTGTCACACATCATTTTTCACACACAACTTTGTCACCCACCATCTTTCACACACCATCTTTGTCACCCACCATCTTTCACACACATCCTTGTCAACCACCATCTTTCACACACTATCTTTCAGACACCATCTTTCACACTTGGCGACATCCAGAGGCGTGGCACTTGGCGACAACCACCTTCGCTTCACGTGGCCGGCGTGGCACTTGGTGCACTTGGCGACATCCACCTTCGTTTCACGTGGCAGGCGCAGCACTTGGTGAATTCCACAAGATGAAAGCCTTTGTTGAGTATCAAACTGAACCGAAAACCCCAAGTTGAAGAGCCACTTGTCTGATCCCAAATGGGATGCAAGTGCCCCAGCGAGATGTTGCCTCGTCAAGACCATGCTGCACATAGTCCTCCATTTTGGAGCTCAGCACTCATCAAGGTCTTCCTTCTCCAGACTGAAGATTCCAATAGTTTATCCACTGAAATCAGAGAGGGCTTCTAGTCATCTGGATCATTGCTGACCAGGTCGACCACCTGTATGTCTGCAAACTCTGCATCTCTAGCAAATGCTTCCAGAAGCACAGCCGCTTATTCGCCACGACAAAAGCAGTGTGAGGATTGACGCCTAAGCTGCACAAGTTCCAAGGTCTTCCGATGAAGAGCCAAAATAACGCTGAGCCTATGCTTGTCAACATCAATTGGGCTAGAGCTCATAACGACCAAGGCAAAACGGCTGGAAGAGTTGACGAATCTCAACGGATCATGTTGTGACTGGCAAGAGACAGGTTTGATGACTTCGAGGGCTCATACTGGAACGGAAAGGAACAGGGAAACGTAGCACCTGCCAATTCGTGGATGGAGTACACAGAGGAGGCCCACACATGCGAAGCCTGATTTCAAGTGACTTTCCGGCCCCAGAAATGGAACCTGAAAGCGCACATGTGGTATCAGCTGTCTCCGTTCCCTAGCTCCAATGGTCAAGGGATCATCCGCGCACGCAAATCCAGATCACATGTACACACAGAGACCTTTTTCTAGCCTTACGATCATCCGCGCACGCAGCTGATAATCACATGTACACACAAGTGAGCCCCACGATCACATGTACACGCAAGTGAGTTCATCTGCGCACGCAGATGACGATCACATGTACACGCATGTACTCTGCAACCGCGATCACATGTACACACCACTCCGCTTAAATTTTATTTAATTGTGAGAAGAGACATGACCCCTTTAGAGTTAATATGTTGTTGCACTTGCTGTAAGAAGAGCCACGGCCCCTTTAGGGTTTGTATGTTGTTGCACTTGGTGTAAGAAGAGCCATGACACCTTTAGGGTTTACATGTTGTTGCACTTCATGTAAGAAGAGCCACGACCCCTTTAGGGTTTATATGTTGTTGCACTTGATGTAAGAAGAGCCACGACCCCTTTAGGGTTTATATGTTGTTGCACTTGATGTAAGAAGAGCCACGACCCCTTTAGGGTTTATATGTTGTTGTACTTGATGTAAGAAGAGCCACGACCCCTTTAGGGTTTAGATGTTGTTGCACTTGATGTAAGAAGAGACACGACCCCTTTAGGGTTTTTATGTTGTTGCACTAGATGTGAGACGAGCCACGACCCCTTTGGGGTTTATATGTTGTTGCACTTGATGTAAGAAGAGCCACGACACCTTTAGGGTTTTTATGTTGTTGCACTTGATGTAAGACGAGCCACGACCCCTTTAGGGTTTATATGTTGTGGCACTTGATGTAAGAAGAGCCACAACCCCTTTAGGGTTTAGATGTTGTTGCACTTGATGTAAGAAGAGCCACGACCCCTTTAGGGTTTATATGTTGTTGCACTTGATGTAAGAAGAGCCACGACCCCTTTAGGGTTTATATGTTGTTGCACTTGATGTAAGAAGAGCCACGACCCCTTTAGAGTTTATATGTTGTTGCACTAGATGTAGGAAGAGCCACGACACCTTTAGGGTTTTTATCTTGTTGCACTTGATGTAGGAAGAGCCACGACCCCTTTAGGGTTTTTATGTTGTTGCACTTGATGTAAGAAGAGCCACGACCCCTCTAGGGTTTATATGTTGTTGCACTAGATGTAGGAAGAGCCACGACCCCTTTAGGGTTTATATGTTGTTGCACTTGATGTAGGAAGAGCCACGACACCTTTAGGGTTTATATGTTGTTGCACTTGATGTAAGAAGAGCCACGACCCCTCTAGGGTTTATATGTTGTGCACTTGATGTAGGAAGAGCCACGACCCCTTTAGGGTTTATATGTTGTTGCACTTGATGTAAGAAGAGCCACGACCCCTTTAGGGTTTATATGTTGTTGCACTTGATGTAAGAAGAGCCACGACCCCTTTAGGGTTTATATGTTGTTGCACTTGATGTAAGAAGAGCCACGACCCCTTTAGGGTTTTTATGTTGTTGCACTTGACGTAAGAAGAGCCACGACCCCTTTAGGGTTTATATGTTGTTCACTTGATGTAGGAAGAGCCACGACCCCTTTAGGGTTTACATGTTGTTGCACTTGACGTAAGAAGAGCCACGACCCCTTTAGGGTTTATATGTTGTTGCACTTGATGTAAGAAGAGCCACGACCCCTTTAGGGTTTAGATGCTGTCGCACTTGATGTAAGAAGAGCCACGACCCCTTTAGGGTTTATATGTTGTTGCACTTGACGTAAGAAGAGCCACGACCCCTTTAGGGTTTATATGTTGTTGCACTTGATGTAGGAAGAGCCACGACACCTTTAGGGTTTACACGCCGTCGCACTTGACGGAAGAAGAGCCACGACCCCTTTAGGGTTTATATGTTGTTGCACTTGATGTAAGAAGAGCCACGACCCCTTTAG